GTATTGGCTGGATAAGAGTGAGCAATTTAAGGTCTCCAAACTTCACGTCTTCATATTTAAACCATGATAATGAGTGTAAGCCTGAAATATCATGGTTGAAGTTTCAAAAGACCCGTATCTATCACCATGCACAAAACTCAAGTCCAAATGGATCAAAGACCTCAACATAAAGCCAACCACACTGAACCTCATAGAAGAGAAAGTGGGAAGTACACTTGAACGCATTGGCACAGGAGACCACTTCCTAAATATAACTCCAGTAGCACAGACACTGAGAGAAACTATTAATAAATGGGATCTCCTGAAACTGAAAAGCTTCTGTAAAGCAAAGGACATGGTCAACAAGATAAAACGACAGCCTACGGAATGGGAAAACATCTTCACTAACCCCACATCAGACAGAGGTCTGATCTCCAAAATATACAAAGAACTCAAGAAATTGGTCATTAAAAGAACAAATAATCCAATAAAAAATAAATGGAGTACAGACCTAAACAGAGAACTCTCAACAGAGGAATATAAAATGACTGAAAGACACTTAAGGAAATGTTCAACATCCTTAGTCATCAGAGAAATGCAAATCAAAACAACTCTGAGATTCCATCTTATACCTATAAGAATGGCCAAGGTCGAAAACACTGATAACAACATGCTGAAGAGGTTGTGGGGAAAGGGAATACTTCTGCAATACTGGTGGGAATACAAGCTGGTACAGTCCCTTTGGATGTCAGTGTGGCAATTTCTCAGAAAACTAGAAAACAACCTTCCTCAAGACCCAGTGATACCACTTTTGGGTATATATCCAAAGGATGCTCAATCGTGCCACAAGGACATGTGCTCAACTATGTTCATAGCAGCATTGCTTGTCATAGCCAGAACCTGGAAACAACTTAAATGTCCCTTGACTGAAGAATGAATAAAGAAAATGTGGTACATTTACACAAAAATATAACGAATCTTGAATCTTGCAGGAAAATGGATAGAGCTTGAAAACATTATTTTGAGTGAGGTAACCCAAACACAGAAAGACAATTATCACATGTACTCACTCATAAGTGGTTTTTAAACATAAAGCAAAGAAAACCATCCTACAAACCACAATCCCAGAGAATTTAGACAACAATGAGGACACTAAGAGAGATTTACATAGATCTAATCTACATGGGAAGTAGAAAAGGACAAGATATCCTGAGTACATTTGGAGCATGGGGGAGGGTTGAAGTGAGGAGGGGAGAGGTAGGGAGGGGAGCAGAGAAAAATATAGAGCTCAATAAAAATCAATAAAAAAATCAATTTAAAAAGTTCTTTGGTAGTCAGTGCAGAAATATTGCAGAGGGGGATCATGCTGATTGGTTCCCAAGGGCTCTAACCTCATGAAGGAATTAATCTCATGATAGATTATAGAGGACATGCTAAGGGAGGGTCTTTGATATTAAAGTCACTCTTTCCCATTGTTTTCTGTCCAGTCTTCAGTATACACTGGAATCCAAAACAAAAAACAAAAAACAAAAAAACAAAACAAACAAACAGCAACAACAACAACAAAACCAGGCTTTTATGCCAGTAAAAGAATGGACTTGCTATTGATGGCAGGAGAAAACATTCAAAGAGAAAAACTTCCTTACATAGGCTTCTAGCAAAAACTGTGACTCAGATTAAAGGCATGTGCCTTCCCACCTCAAAGATTTAGATTAGAAGCAGATCTACCTAATCCAAATTATGCAAAAATCCTTCACAGGTGTACCCCCCCATCTTTGGATTTTAGTTGATTCCAGATGTAGTTAAGTGGACAACCATGTATAGACATCACAGAAGACAACTAAGAAAGAACCCTTTAGTGGAGAGCTTAGCTTTCTGAAATCATGAATATATTAGACAAATTGATTTCTGTTTAAGAAAGTCCCTGTGCAAAACAGAAGAATTTGCCGTTTGTCTAAAAGCATGCACACTTTGACGTCAGAGTCTGGTGGCCAGGAAGAGAACTAAAGGGCACCAACTGTACTTGACTCAGAAGAGCTAGAGGAGGGCTTGGTAGCCAGAATGTCCCAGGACAGTGCCAGACAGAATGGCAGCAGCATGAAGGCAGCTCCATCCACTGTTTTCTACCACTGTGTTTTCTTGGGAGGCATCAGAATTAAGGATATTTAGACTACAGTTGATTCGAATTTCTGAAAAGAATCACATTTTGCCATCTCTTTATATTTAGGTTTTATGTTTTCTTTTTCAACTTGTTATTCATTTATAAATTTGCCAGCTAGCTCCTAGCATACTGGGATGCTGTTCAAATTATTCCCTAAATTTACTCTTTAATCTGAAAAAAAGGAAGGAAAAATGGTATGTATGGTTATTTTAGACTTTAATTTTGAAAATGAATACAAGAAACTCATATTTTCCTCCAGCTAACTAACAATATCTTGAGGTCAAGTTTTATTTGCAGGATGCATGGATTCAAATTACAAGCTGTACTGGTTAAAAGAATGCAACATTGTGAGAGATCCCTGGTGCTGTTTTAGTTGAAAACCATGGTAACATTTAGAATGCTCTATTGAAATACAAAAACTAATTTGTGTTCAGATCAACAAATATAACCACAGGAAGCAAACGATAATGGGTTTTAATGATAAAATTAGCTATAGGGCAGAGGAAGAAATCTTTCCTTTTGCCAATACTTCCCTCTAGTGGGAGAGCTGCACTTTTAAATTTACAGCGTAATAGAACATGTGCAGAAGCAGAGTTAGTTATGTGCGGTTTTTCTTTGACGTCCCCGAAGCATACATATAATGAACTATTGATTATGCATGTTAGCATTGCATTACAATAACCCGCCTCGTCTGGAACAGCGCATTGTGGGAGAATGATGGGCAATCTGCCACATAGCTCAGCCACAATAGAGATTATAAGACTAAAACATGTACAGGAGGCCATCACAAGAAATACTGCCACATTATAACTATATTGATTTATGCTTCACACTGTCAATGGCAAGCAAAAATAATGAGGAAGATCAGCAATCTTGTAATGGCCTTCTGTTATTAGAGCCTTGGGTGTGCGTGTAATCGGTTTATGAGGGTGAATATCAAGGCGCCCACAGTGAATTCACAAAGGTGAATCTGGTGAACACCTTCCCAGCAGGGGAAAAACAAAGTTCTTTGCTCTCAGTACCATCAAGAACAGAACAAATGCAACTAGAAAAATACATCTTGATAGCCTAGCCCCAAAGAGTGAAATTTTCCAAAAATTTGAGATTCCTTGAGCCAGAGGGGAATGGAGAGGTACCAAAGAAACTACACAGGAGCACACTGGGTTTCTCAAGCTTTAAAAAGCCACGTGGTTAAAAAGTGTGATGTTGGATTCTCCTTTTAAAACTTCTAGAAGTTACAGTGTCGGGGGACCAATTGGCTTCCCATCTTTAGTTATAAGATACAGTCACTAAATTAATCACCACTCTTGAGAAAGCAGTGGACAATGGGAATGGGAATGCTCCCTCCACTGTCCCTGCTGAGATCCCCAGGAGAATCTCTTTACATCACCCCTGATGCAGAGCCAGCATTTCTAAGTTCATTTGCTAGTTCAGACGCTGCACTCCATAACTTAGAAAGAAAGCCAAGGTTGTGAGTATCATGTGTCTGGGGAAATGGTACCTTTTATTTTTCAATTTTGCAGACCAAGGACTGTTTCTATCCAATACATTCAGGTTATTCTTATTCAGATACTGTACTCTACATACAAAAGGAAACTGGTCTCATTGCTCAGACATTACCACCTGGACCGTTCTGCAAAAAAGAGAAGTTTATAATTGGTGAATTTGAACATTTCAGATTAGCATTGGGTAGAGATGATGTGTCTGAACTCATAGGAAAGAATGTATAGAGTACTTTATTCATTGAAGAGCAAGCGAGAAAAGGTACCTTGAAGATGAAAAATCGATAATTAACAAAATTTGCATAGTTCCTAATGCATTTGACCTGAAACACCACCAAACAGTGCAGAATGTGATGGTTAATCAGACATTAAGGCAACCACTGTAATAAGCATTAGTCAGAAATAAATGGCACACAGGTCTCCCTAAATGAGAAGATGGTTAAGGAAAATTATATTCTTCTCACAGAACTTGACCTATTGGTTTTGGCTCTGACAAATAATTAGATCAGTTTGATGAATTCCGTAACTGTCTGGACCATCACCTTTATGTGTCAAACAGCAGCTGGAAGCGGTTTCTTACAGGACTATCTTTATCCAGAGTCATAGAATATCCAATAGTATAGTATCCAGTACTTAGTTATCATGGATATAACTTTGCAAATATCTACTTAGTAACTGACAGTAAGCCTTAACCACCAGAGTGAAATGAAATCAGATGCATATAAAGTGCTTTGAAATTTTCCCTTAAGTAAATTAACACTGTTTTCCATCTGTAAGCATATGTAATTCCAAATACCATCACTGTAATGTGCTTCGGGGAAGAGTCTTCCTTAGTTTTTATATTCATAGGAATGAATATCAAATTAGAGACATTTCAGTTTGTTCATATAGTCATATTAAGTATGCAAATGCAAAATATTCAAAACAAATAACAAAACATCATCTTATCCCACGTCCTGAAACTTTATTTTTTCTTTTTTTGGCTTTGAGGCAGGGTTTCTCCGTGTGACTCCAGCTGTCCTGGAACTCACTCTGTAGGCCACGCTGGCCTAGAACCCTAGAACTTTGAGATCTGCCTGCCTCTGCCTCCCAAGTGCTGGGATTAAAGGGCTGCACAATTACTTATGCCAAGTTCAGAAAGTAACATTTTAAGAAATCATATTGGTAGCTAGATGGTTGGGTAGTTTGTTTGGTACTGATGCAGGGACCTGGCTACTTTGGGGTGCTAGTTGGGAAATGGTAGAAGTAGGGGGAATGCAGCTGGTCATGGTAAATTGGTTGCATGACATAAAGAACCAAATGGACCTAACCATTTTCTCATCTCATCTACAGTACTAAATCCGTATCCTGTTTCACAGGACATGAATGACTACCCTCCGGTATTTAGTAAACGTATCTACAAGGGGATGGTGGCTCCAGATGCTGTCAAAGGGACACCAATCACGACCGTGTATGCTGAAGATGCAGACCCTCCTGTAAGTAGAGACACTGGCCATGCTCTTAGTTGTGTGAGAAAGTGCCCAGTTCCCAAGAAAGTAGTGAGTTCTTCAGAACCCGTCCTCTCCTTTTGGCGGTTCTTACTTATTATTTACACAGCTACCTTGATCCTGATGAAGTGAGACAGCCAGAGATATACTTTTTACCTAGATTTCAAAATTCTTCTTATTTGTCCATTTATGTAGCTTTAATGATGAAGACAGGCAGAACTGCTCTTGGAAACATGCACCATCATGCAGGGTTTTTCTTTAAGTTCAATTTTGTGTGGGAAGGTTCCACACTCATGATTTTCTGCTTTATTTGTGCATAACATTTTATAAGAAAATGCTAAGTCCACATATAACATAAGCCTGTACTTTTATAAACAGAAATCTCGATATTTCTTTCAAATATATTTAGGAGATTTTTCTTTAACCATGTAGAGCGCTTACCTATTTCAAAACATTCCAAATTGCCAATCAAGACAGAGGACATTCAGCTAATACATTATTGCAACAGCAGTGAGGAAAATTTTCCTTAATGTCGTTAAATTATTACATTTAATGCAAGTTAAAAGTAACCGCACCGGTGTAGAATGCTCTGTGGAAAACCTACAGTGCTTTTCACTGGTTTTTTTCTTAATTTCTGAACAGAATTTTAGATTTATATTTTTCCTTTGAATGAACTCATGCTACTAATGGATTCTAGGAAACACAAATAAACATACTAAGCCATAACTGAAAAGTCAGAAAAATTAAAGTCTTGAATCATATAAGCCAGTTAAAAAATATTTTTAGGGCTAATAGCCATAGTATTTCCAGAAGAGTTTTTATTTAATGAAAAGTCAATAGCAGTCATAAAGTTTGTCAGTTCTAGCAGCAGCAAGCTGTATAAAGTTTGCCGTGACTATACCACCCGAACAAAAAGAATATGCTGATTTTGGAAGCAACGGTCTGGGGCATTAAAACATTTTTGAAACTGGATTGTCACACTTGTAAAAATAAGCAAAAATTCATATCTGTGGATGCACCAATAGCAACAAGCACCCCCGGCACACTGTCCACTGTGATAGAGGAGCACACCAATAACAGTGAGCGCCTGCTGCCAACTGCCCACTGAGCTAACCAGTTTCTGCTGTCAAGAAACTCACCATAAGACGAGGCAGAACTACAGAGAGAACCTAGAACACAGTCTAGGTGATTGATGAAGAACTTACAGCCTAAAAAGTATAAATGATGCGTGACCAAATGGTCCTGTTCTTCTGTATGAGGTACTCAAAGTCTTAGTGCATTTGCTCTTAGCATGCAGGACTTTGGTATCTGGCGATCAGATCATTCTTATGAGGGTGAGAAATAATGTCTTGGTCAATGGTCGACTCTATTGTTAGCTTTCCTAGAGTTTCTGACTTAAACCCTTAATAACTGCCCCGGGTTCACATTTCTGTGGAAGAAGTTTGCACCGTCGGGTTTTTAGCGATTATTGAAATATCTGATAATTGATGATGATGATGATGATGATGATGATGATAGCTTTTTTAGCAAATAAAAACTTGATTCAGATCATCCCATTGGCTGAGTGTGTTGGCTTCAGCTGCTGCACCTAGGTACAAACTTCTGGTTCATTTTCCACTCTTGAAACATCAGCAATGCTTCATGGTAGCTATTATTTGGAGTTTGGCTTCTTAATTGTTTCTACAGATTTTTCCTTTGACTTAAGATGACTGTACTTTGGCTGCATCCACACAAGTGCAAATAGTAACCCAAGTCCAAGGAATTTTTTAGAAGACTAGAACTGTCTGCATAATTTTAAAGTATTAATGTTTTCTTTGATGTTGGTTTCACAAAAGCATGTATTTTGCAGATGTGCTGGCCAGGTGCCTTCTTCCCTCTTAGTGTTATAAACATTGACCAATCGATAATAATTTTAATTTCCTATCCTATAGAGTCTCTGCTCCTTTACCTGTTTCAGTATGTGAGGCTATTACTGTCTAATATAATATAAATGTTTATTTGGTGAACTCATTCTAAACCAGATCCTCCAAATGGTAGGAAACTCATTCCATGTGTGTGCCTTAGTTCAGGACGTAATAGTACGCTATGAAACATTTGCATGATGTAAAATGGATAGATAAAGTAATGCTTATTTGTGTGCTCTTCAGTGTTGGCAAATTTGCAAGAACCTCAGAAATTTGGTCCTATAGGAAATTCGGAAGATCTGCCATCTCCAAGTCTCCGCTAGGCCACTGAAAAGCTGGGATTTACGAACGATGCATATTTCTTCTTAGCACAGCTTCTCCCCGACCCCTCCTGTTTCAAGTATCATTGCTACTCTAGAAACTACTTTTATGTTTTGAGACTTATTACACCTTTTTCAAGACACCCTGCTTGATTTGAGGAAAGTGAGAGCCACACATTTTAAACTATAATGTAGTAGCAACAAACCGTTTGAAGTACCGAATGCAGAGACGGAGTGCTGCCTCAAAGCCAGAGAGAACACTGTTTCTGAATATAAATGAAAAATTATAAAATGCATGTTGTGCAAAATTAAAGTGCTCTGGAGGGAGGAGCAATCTTCCAGGACTCTGACACTGCTGGGATTTTTTGTTTTCCACTTCTGAGATGGCAGGATTGACATTGTGTGCGCACACAGAATTAAGGAATGATGGATTGCTGGGAGAGGCGAAAAAACTGCTAACCTTTTCTTTCTGCTCACTGGGGACTTCTTTAAACTTTCACAGAACAAACTGGACGTGTAATTTCCATTTGCACATCTTGATTCTTTCTGAAGCTTCAGGTCAAACTCACTTGGAATTCTGTTAGTAAGCAGGGTTATAAATTAACCTATTATATAGTTAGTATTAAAGCAACACACAGCCATGGACCAACTGGGATGCATGTGCTGTTGGCTGTTTACCTGTTTCTAAGAAGGAAAGCATAGGAGCTCATGGAAGCTCAACCCCTCAGTGTAATCTTTCCTTTCATATACTTTAGAATTAATGAGATGCCTGTTCAGCTAAGCAAGACATTAATGAGAGCATGCTTAATGTTTGCAGCTCATAAACGTCTTCATTTTCAAATAAATACATAGTCTTTGAGAATTAGGAAATAAAATCTCCATAAAAAATTTTGTAAATTATCAGTAACAATTGGCTTAAAATCTGTTTCTAAACAGTAAGTAATCTTACAAGATTTCTTCAGAAGAAATAATGAGACAGTAATCACCAATGTGATTCATTTCATATCCTTCTATAAAAACATGAGACTTAGCCATTCTGGCTTCAGATGAGCCACTAAAGAGCTATGTGTTTGTTCAGTTGTCTTTAACAGCCATCCTCACCATCCAGGGCACCTCTGCTGATCTCTATAGAGAGTGAAAGACGGCCATTAATTTTATTTCTACAATGAGAAACTTGTTTTATTAAAATGGTGTGATCTCAGGAACACCAGCCGATTGTGGTCCTCTGGAAAGCTTCTCCGTTGTTCTGCAGCGTTTTATAACTGATGAACTCATATGAGAAGTAATCCCATTTTGACCCATAGCTTCCTATTTGCTTGCTCTGTGTGCAACGCTGAAAGCTGCCCAGAACCAGAAGTGTTATAAAATTGTGTTTTTACCTCTACTTTGGTGTACTCACTTCTTCTTTTCCTTTCGTATTTTTACTGATCTATTTTTCATCACTCTTCATTGTCCAGCCTGTGTTGTAACACTGTGTTGATTCAATTTGTTGTCAGCTATGTAACGGAAACTGACAGTCTAGAGCATGGGGGTTGAGCACAGCTCACAGTAAAGCTGAACCAGGATACAATCATGGTCTGCTTGCACCGGGAATGGCTTGTAAACACTGAGGCGACCTGGCCCAGTCCACATCCCTTTGATTTCAGAAATTTTATTAGATGGAAAAATAAACACCATGAAATAGTTCAGGTGGGAGTTGTAAATGACAGTTGGGTGTAGTTAGATTTGGAAGCAAAAGTGAGAATGTAAGGAAAGGTTTTATGAGGAAGTATGAATATGATTAATGTTTGGAAATAGCTTATTCATGCATTTTAAGTATACATCATTTATGGCCACTCTGGGCTTATATTATGTAGCATTATAGTGATATAGTATCATGAACTGTAAGTTGTTAAGAACAATGATATGGTTACTCTTACTTGTGATTAATAGTATGTATTTTCAGATTAAAATATCACTGATCCTATTTAGAAACTGTCAAACTAAACTGGGCAGTGGCGGTGCACGCCTTTAATCCCAGCACTCAGGAGGCAGAGGCAAGCAGATCTCTGTGAGCTCAAGGCCAGCCTGGCATACAGAGCAAGTTCCAAGACAAGCACCAAAGCTACACAGAGAGACTTTGTCTCAAAGAAACAAAAGAAAAAATAAATAAAGTAAGAAAAGAAGAAAGGAAGGAAGGAAGTGAGGGGGGGTGGGGGGGAGGGAGGGAGGGAGGGAGGGAGGGAGGAAGAAAAAAGAAAGAAAAGAAAGTGTCAAGCTATTAAGGTTAAGGGGGTTTAATTTTATTAAAAATTCATTTTCTATCACACAATACTTTCAGCTCACAGTTGTCCTCATTCATCAACTCCCTAATGCTGCTGCCTCCCCACCTGGCCAACTCTATTTCTTATTTATCTCTTTCTTTAAAAAAAAATAAACAGGCAAATAAAACAAAATGAACAAAATAAATAAGGAAAAAGCACAAGAGAAACTCACACACGCACAAATAAATGAAAACACAAATTGTAGATCATAATATACAAACAAAAGTACAGTAAGATAAAAATTGCCATTGCTGAAAAAAGGCAATGAGACAAAAGTCTCCAAAAATAGTGTTGAGTTCATTTTGTGTTGGCATCTACTGCTATGCATGGGGCCTGGCCGTCAGTGTGGTCTGTGTTCCCAGTGAGACTCTACTGGAGAACCTCTTTCTTGCTTGCTTGCTTCTTTCCTTCTTTCCTTCCTTCCTTCCTTCCTTCCTTCCTTCCTTCCTTCCCCTCTCTCT